TATTTTTTTCACAGCTGTATATATATACTTTGAATGCTGAAGAAAATATTTACTCGGCTATTCAACACTTTGATGATTCTTACAACCATTTCTGTGTTGGGATTCTTGTTCACACTGGCCGGCATATATATTTTGTCATGGCGATGCCTCAGTTTTTTTTTCCAATTATTATTTATTTTAAAGAGAAAAATAATTATGTAAAACAATTAAACAAAAAAACAATTAAATTATAAAAATAACTATTTTTAATTTTTATACCCTTGCAGAGGGTATTATAATTTCAGTCACAAGGTAGCAAAGCTGTGAAGGAGACATTTACGATCCTATAAAGGATATATATTCTTGATCAGCACCACTAGAAGAGTCGATCTAGCCATGTCTGTCTCTCCGTCCGTCCGTTCCTACGCAAACTAGTCCCTAAGTTTTTAAGCTATCTGCTTGCAACTTTCCCAAAAGTTGTCTTTGTATTGCAGGTAGTATATAAGTCGGAGCGAGCGGGATCGGGCGACTGTATCATATAGCTCCCATAGGAACAATATATATTTTCATTTCTTTTACTTAACTTTCATAATACTTCCACTATCTGGTGAGTGAAATCTAAGTGAAAAACGTAGTGTTGAAGAAAACATGAAAATAAAACCAACGTGTGGCCTCGAGTTTAATCTATAACTTCAATTATTTCAAAAAATTATTAATAACCAACTCAAAACTTAAAATGGGATAACACGCCCAAAAAATTAAGCATTTTATCTATATTTACTGTTATTGTATTTACAACAAGTCTCCATATCGGAAAGCGGATCTTTTTCAACCGACAATATGCACTGAACTTTCACACACTATAGATGCTTTAACAACAGAACTCCATTTAGGCAACTAAAAACCTTGAAGTTTGGCAACACCCAATTGGAAAACTTTCCTGATCTTAACATAGAAAAAATTCTGATGCTCTGCTTCCATCCAATAGATGGCTAATGAGTCTGAGGTGACGTGTAGACGAAACTACCTAGTCCTAGCATAGTCGGGTTCACTATCCAGTGGGTGCAAGTGTGATGAAAGCTAAGTGAAAAAAGTTGTGTTATAGAAGAAATGAAAATATAACCAACGTGTGACCTCGAGTTTAATCAATAACTTCAATAACTGTTTTTCAACATATACGCATAAAAATCGATGTTTTATACAAAATTCAAAGAAACGGTCGTTGCTATAGTTGGCACTTTAAACACATCTCTTAAAATCATTCTATTTCTAGTTTAAGTAGTTTACTTCGAGATGTGCTCCGATTGGTAACTGGTCTTTATTTTTCAAGTGACAACACAAATACAGTTGCTTAAAAAGAATTCCACCTGATTAAGAAAAATTTGAACTGTTTAAATAAATGAATGATAAAACTAAACTAAAATACTGTGCAAAATCTCAAAACGATCCGTCCGATAGAATTTGTACGTGTACAGCGACTTTAAAATGGCCACTGTTCAGGAAGCGTCTTAAATATTGGACACCCAAAAATCGAATACAAAACGAGCTAACTTACCTACGTTTAACTGCCCATAACTTCGGAAGCTTTAAACTTACCGAATCGTAATTTTCGCTCTGCTTCTTGTTAAAAGACAACAAATTTGTTTTTATTTTTGAAAAATTTTCAGGTGCCTATTGTAAACGGGACATTAAAAAAAAAACAAAATGATCACAAAACTGAAAATTTTTAAAGTAAACAAGGAAATTAATCGTAATTTGTTAATCCTGCCTTGGGTCGGCGCTTAGTCGCTTAATATTAGAAAATTTTTTCCGCGAAATTGGAAATCTGAATGATAGTTAGATTTGGTACTAGTTCCGCCACCATAAATTGATATAAAGCTGATTATTTGTAATCTAATTGGGATTGGGATTCTCGGAAAAAGTCTTTCTATAAACATAGAAACACAAGTTATAACGAATTTAGATAAAGGGGATATTACAAGGGGCTTCCAATAACTTTTTAAAAAGGGTAGTTATCAGAAGATAAATTCGGAGTGCCCTTCTAGATTTAAAGCAACAGATCATTTGGAGCAACATCTTTCAGTTTTTAAAATTAATAAAATCAATTTAATTGCCCAATTGTCAAAAGCAAAAATACGACAAACCAAGGCCAGGAATAAGATGACCAGAGAGTGATTTATATTTACTGGATTAGAAATTTAAAACGTAACGGAAGCCGTTCGCTGTAAAATTTCATAATTTCGTTAATTTTAAATCATGATCATTACGATGTGTAATGTTAAATACTTACTTTATATTTATAGAACGAGGAATACTTTAAGTTTAATTCGCTAGAACAGAATTGGGTAATAAGAGAATTGGCTAAGAAGAGGACTGACAGTATTGCAGGCAGAGGAATAATAATAATATATTACATAACTGCAATTGAGCAACTCATAAAAATAGAGGAATTAAGACGACAAAAAAGAATCGACAGAAATCAAAAAAGAAAAACTAAACTGGAAAAAGGACGCAAACCTCAACTTTAAGAAAAAAAATAAAAGAATGATGTTATAAAATCAAGAAAACCATTTGGAACTGGAAAACAAGAAAGGAAGCAAACTTCGACAAGCCAACGTTTATATACCATTGCAGTTATTTTAATTTTTTGATTTTCTCATGGGAGCTATATAATTTAGATGTCTGATTTTAATTTAATTTCAACCGTAATTCCATAGTATTTATATATTACCAAATTCCAAAGAACAAAAAAAAAATTAAAAACAGCAAAGATATAATTTATTTAAATTTTTTTTTCTGACTGTTCCTATGGTAGCTTGTTCCGACCCATATACTACCTTCGATAAAAAGACAACTTTTGTGAAAATTTTAAGCAGATAGCTTTAAAACTAAGGGACTAGTTTCCGTAGAAACGGACAAGCGGACGGACGGATAGACGGACATGGCTAGATCGACTCTCCTGGTGATGTTGATCAAGAGTATATATACTTTATAGGGTCGGAAATATCTCCTTCACTGCGTTGCAAACTTTTGACTGAAATTATAATACCTTCTGCAAAGGTAATATTGAAACTTAAAAAAAATTTAAAGACTGCTGCAATATGAACTTGAACTAAAATAAAAGAAAAATTTAAAAGTGTATCACATTTTTTTTTAAGTTTTGGTTAATTCGGCCAAAAAGGCTTATTTTCATGATTTTTTTACGCGATACGGTTAATGTCAGTTCAATTATTTTATAAACATATTAAAGTACAACATTTAACTACGTTTTCACAAATTTTCATAAAAAAAAAAATAAATGAGCCGTTTGCAGCAAAGCTCCGTAGCCGCCTCCAAGAAAAACAACAGCATAACTCAGAAAAAACCAAAAAACAATTGTTTATTAGTTGATTTGTTTCTAGAGGTAACTACGTTGAGTTTTTTTTATTAAATTTTTAGGTTTGTGGTAACACTTTAAAATTTGTTATTTGTTATTATAAAATGAAAAATAATCAGTAAAAAAAAGAACTCGACGTCGGTACCTGCGGATTTAGGTACATAAATTATGTGTAAAATTTCAGAACGATTCGTTTTGTAGTTTTTGAAATTGCAACTTTTCAGGAGAGCGTTTTAAATTTTTGGACACCGAAAAATCGCATTCAAAACGAGCTAACTCACCTACGTTCAACTGCTCATAACTTCGGAAGTTTTGCTCGGATGAATCTAAAACTTTAACGCAATATTCTTCAAATGTTGTGCATTCAGAAACAAAAATTTAAAAACAAGAAAGGAAAGCTAACTTCGGGCGGAGCCTAAGTTGATATACCCTTGCAGAATATTCTGTAAATTATATTCTCCAAAATTATTCATATGATGCATTCTTAATACTCATAAAAAATCCCAACTTCCTAACTTTAAAAACACCAAAGTTATGGCATTTTCAATTGTTCAGTTATATGGCAGCTATAGTGGGCCGATCCTTATGAAATTTGATAGGTCGGATTGATTGGCTAAAAATAAAACCCATAGAAAATCCCAACTTCCTAATTTTAAAAACACCAAAGTTATGACATTTCCGATCGTTCAGTTATATGGCAGCTATAGGATATAGTCTTCCGAATCCTGGCCGTTCCGACTTATATAATGCGTGCAAAGGAAAGAAGGGTGTGTTCGATATCTTTAAAACTGAGAGACTAGTTTGCGTCGAAAAACACAGACGGACATGCTTATATCAACTCAGGAGGTGATCCTGATCAAGAATATATATACTTTATGGGGACGGAGATGTCTCCTTCACTGCGTTGCACACTTTTGACCAAAATTATAATACCCTCTGCAAGGGTATAAAAAGGGCCAAAAAAAATGTATATAAGCCTATATATAGGTTTTTCAGTTTCTTTTAATTTAAACCAAATAACACAAATTTATTTCAAAGGTATTGCTACTGTCTTAAGAGTATATGAAAGTTCCTCACGAAGTGCGAACATGTTATAGTGTGTACTTATCACTGATTTAGACCTAACGCTTGTGTTTTGATGCTCTCCGTCCTGCTGCGGCGATGCTTCTTGCTGGCGTCACGCCCTGGCTGACTTTTTTGGCTGTTGCTCCCTCGCTGCAAGTTACTGCCAGGCCAGGGCAATAGCCCTTTGGTAAATTTTAATTATAAACAACCATCTGAAACCCACTGTACTCCTGCACCCAATGTGCTTGGTAGATTACTCCGATCACAAAGTTTAATTGCTCTATTTAAAGCAATTTTAATTAAATAACTTTTAGAATTCTGCTAATTATTTTATATTCCAAATACCAATTTTTCAGAGTTTGGGTAACTAAGATTAATCTATTTTAGATCACCTATTTTCTTTTTTGTAGTGCTTTAATGCACTAGCGCGCATTGTTTCACTTGAGAGTGGAACTTTAAAATTTAAAAACAGTCAGTACACGGTCTTTTTTTTGAAAGTAATGATTTTAAACTTAAATGTTTTGTCATATAAGATCCAATATAATATTCATTTAATAAGTTACGTTTTCTTTACTTTCAGACTGTTGTACAATATTAAAGTGGTTGCTAGGACCAATCGACTAAAAACGGAGTCAGCTCACAAAAACCTGATACATCCTGAACGGAGTTTTAAGGCAGAAGGAGAAAAAAAGGTCGAATTATTCAACGAAATGACACTTCCAAGTGCGGCTCGTGTGTATACAGATGTGAATGCGCACAAGCCAGATGAATATTGGGACTATGAAAACTATGTGGTTGATTGGGGCAATCAAGACGATTACCAACTGGTCCGTAAATTAGGACGTGGAAAGTATTCCGAGGTATTCGAGGCTATTAATATAACGACCACAGAGAAGTGCGTTGTTAAAATTCTAAAACCTGTAAAAAAGAAGAAGATTAAGCGTGAAATCAAAATTTTGGAGAACTTGCGTGGAGGAACTAATATAATAACTTTGTTAGCCGTTGTGAAGGATCCAGTTTCCCGGACACCGGCGTTAATTTTTGAACATGTCAATAACACGGATTTTAAGCAACTTTACCAAACATTAACTGATTATGAGATACGCTACTATTTGTTTGAGCTTCTTAAGGCACTTGATTATTGCCACAGTATGGGAATAATGCATCGCGATGTGAAGCCCCATAATGTTATGATCGATCATGAAAATCGAAAATTGCGCCTTATAGATTGGGGACTGGCCGAATTTTATCATCCCGGTCAAGAATATAATGTTCGTGTGGCATCAAGATACTTCAAAGGTCCCGAATTACTGGTAGATTACCAGATGTATGATTATTCACTTGATATGTGGTCATTGGGCTGTATGTTGGCGTCGATGATATTCCGAAAAGAGCCGTTCTTCCATGGTCACGACAACTATGATCAATTGGTGCGCATTGCTAAGGTGCTGGGCACCGAAGAGCTTTACGCATATTTAGATAAATACAATATTGACCTAGACCCTCGATTTCACGACATTCTTCAACGCCACTCACGAAAACGATGGGAAAGGTTTGTTCATTCTGACAACCAACATCTTGTTTCCCCTGAAGCATTAGACTTTCTTGATAAACTTTTGCGTTATGATCACGTTGACCGACTAACAGCTCGCGAAGCTATGGCTCATCCATATTTTTTACCTATCGTCAATGGACAAATGAACCCCAATAATCAGCAATAAGAGGTTATTTCATTATGATGAATACTGTGTTTTCGAGATCGGGATAGCAGCCATTTAACATTTATGATAATAATTATGAAAAATATAAAATCTGAAAAGAAATAAAATAAATTAAGCTACTGTCTTAAAAAAATCTGATGAACTGTTTGTAGAGGAAATAAACACGGGAATAAAACTAGTTCTTACACTATAACCTCTAGTTTTTTAAAAATTATAAGTGGGCTTTATTGTGCTTTAAAACTCAAAATTTTGAATATCTGGTTTTTTAAATTTGCGATTGAAAGTATTTTATTTTCGAATTTAATGCAATGGCTGGCGGCCTTAAGCCTTCGTCAGAGAAGACCCTAAACAATATTCTTGAGCGAATAAAAAATGCCTTGAGGCCTATTTTGACCTTTTGAAATTAAACATACATCAAGAACTACATTTAAATTTAAAATATCCCTTAAATGTACATTGACATTACTTACTTTTTTAAAAATTATTTTGTATCCCATTAAAAAAAATACCAACACATTAACCAACAGCATTTTTTTTTTATATAGAAAAAAAACCAAAACCAAGAAAAAATGGTATTGGTGATTTTAAAATCATTAGTTGATAAACTTCAATCAACTAATGATTTTAAAATCACCAATAAAATCATTAGTTGATAAACTTCAATCAACTAATGATTTTAAAATCACCAATACCATTTTTTCTTGGTTTTGGTTTTTTTTCTAGAACGCGTACATACATTTTTGTGTTTAATTGTAGCAAATCGATCTCGATTTACTTTTATCTTATGGCAGGACCAATTGCTTGCTTTCCTTTCTCTGTGATTTACTGCATTGAAAACTTTTGACTAAAGCCAATTGATATTGATAGGCATTGATTAAATAAATATATGTACCAACAAATAATATTTTTTTACCTTTTCACGAAATAATTTCACGATTTGAGAGTGTAAGAGTGGAATAAACTTGCTCTGCATATGCATTTCTACTAGAGATAGCTTTTATACTGCAAAAATGTCATAAAAATAGAAAAAAAATTTCGCTGCCTTTAACAATGTTTCCTACGGAAGCTAGAAGATAAATAAACTTTTATATTGTTTTAGTTTTCGATTGAAATTTATATAAAAATCATTAAAAGTTTACTTCTTGATTTAAAGTAGTAACACAAATTTCAGAAAATCACTTCAAATATTTTTGTCTGTACTTTATAGTGATTAAACAATTTGTTATTTTCAAAGATTAAAATTATACAATTATTATATGTATGTATATTTATCGGTAACTAATCCGAGCGGCGACTTTCAAGAATAAACATACATAAAAATATATACAACTAGATCATTAAATAACAACAATTACCTTGCGAATCAAAAAAAAATCCACCAAAGCTCATTAAACATAAAATTCAAATTCAATCGTCGGTAGGGTATGCAACAACAACCAAAGCTGATTTGGTTTGAAGTTTTCTCAACCACTAAGCGCAGACACCGACTGCGATGTGCCCTATTCCTATTTCATTAGATTGATTTGTATTATTTGGAATACATACATATATGCAAAACATTTTTCTGCTACCACTGATTTGAATTTGTAAACCAAAATGAAATATATGCGGAAATATTAAAAAATATACTATAACATATAATATTCTTATTTTTATCATCAACCCAATAGTGAGTACGCCCCTATTGTTAGGGTACCAAGTCTGAAAAGTAGCAAAAGACAAAATATTCTTGCTGCATCGAAATGAAATGATCACACACATGCACCCCTGTATGAGAATTCATGAACACCCATACATACAAAGCCCAATTCAAGAGCAGGGCAACCTTCTTCAAAATGCGCGTCTCTGCGACTGAACGACCGAACTCGAGTAATGAGCGCTCGCGCGTCAAAATGAGAACAAGAATGAGAGCGAAAAAAACCGGGGCCTGCCGCTACCAGTTGTGGTGCCTCCCGCTTCGAAACTTTTATGACCATTTTCGTTGTATGAAATGACCAGTCTACATGTTGTATGGTTAGTGGCGGTAGCCACTTCAAAACATTCCCTACTTCGATCAGATGTAACTTGGTCGAGTAGGGTTGATAAAAAAAAGCTAAGAAATTTGCTTACATCAAACGGCAAAAGCAGAACAAGGCCCTTGAACTTTGACGCCTACCGATAGAGATTCCTTGGGAGTTAACTTTAACCGAAACAAGAACAACCCAATCTTGTAGCGTAGAATAGAAAATAGAGCATAAGCGTGGGCCAATGTAGCGATCCGTGGATTTAGATCCGCAAACTTGGATGACGTGGCATTCATGACGTGGCATGATCCATCTCCACTTGGCTATGGAGTCCGTGGCTGCTGAAACTCCCCGCCAGATACACCCTGTACATTCGTCGGTGTGCCGGCTGATGTGGTCGAGGTGGTCGCCTTTGTGAAGTCGGCATTGCACCATACAGGAGTGCGAAATAGACAGGAGTGCGAAAAGAGATTCCCTGGAAGTTGACTTTAACGAGCATAAGCGTGGACCTTAAGCCGGGTGTATTATTCTATAGAAGAAATACATGTCGTTAACCTTATTTTAACAATCAGTTTTACATACCGCAGTTTTGCTTCCTCCAATCTCTTTGATCTCTCCGATCGGAATAAATCAAAGCGGGAGCTTTGGCTCTCAATTCAGCTTTCATATGACCATTAACATACATACATCGATACAATTACTGATACTGCTAACAAATACTTAAATACTGGAAGCGTTACGTTAATCCGTTCCACGACAGGCGTGTCATGATAGTTCTTTTGTTTTATCCGGAACAGTGTAAGCATTTGAATGTTTTGATCCCAAAGAAAGGAATCTCCACCGGTGGCGCCGAATATAAGTAAATTGCCGACCCTCTCCAAGTTTTCGAGCGAATTCTGCAGAAACGGCCAGAAGCATACATTCTTTAAGAGCGACGTATACAGATGACACTGCATTTTTTGCGACGAATGCCACGGACATGGTGCAGAATAGCTTAATGAGTTTTTTAATCAGCATGTCACGTTTAACACCGCCCTACATTGGACGGAGAACCCGTCAAGCGCCCTGCCATGGTACCTTGAGCTTGCCCTAGACAGGAGACTTACTTGGAAGCAGCATATTGTGGCTGCCTGTGCTTCAACTCGGCAAGAAGCTCAGAAGATGAGATGGTGCCTTTCAGGCATTGGACTCACGCTTACGGAGTGGGCAAAAAACACCTCCAACAAAACTAATTGAATCATGCCAAGACATCATTTTAAGACAAACGGTTGATAAACGCTTCTAACTATACACGAAACTATACTTGACCCAGACTCATAGTCTGAAACACTCGTAAAGATCAAAGCGACGACTTATATTAAAAAAAAATTTAACCAAAAATGTTTTTGAGTACAATAATCAAATCTGAAAGCTGAAAGATAAATATAATAATTTTTTATATATTTTGTTTTGTATTGACCTTTTACAATAATTAAAATAAAACGCTTCTCTGATCGTAACATTGAGAAGTTTCTGACGCTCTACTTCCATCCCCGTAAATAGCTGAGGAGTCTAAGGTGACGTGCAGCCGGAACTATCTAGTCTTATCATAGTCGGGTTCATTCCCCAGTGAGTGCAAGTGTGATGAAAGTTTAATGAAAAACTCGTTGTGTTATAAAAGAAATTAAAATATAACCAACGTATGACCTCGAGAAATCCAATTGCTAAAATGATTTATATATTTATTTATACAGCTAAGGTATTGCCTAAATGACTGAAAGGCTGAATCGTTTCAGGCAGCTATCAGCTATCCCACAGAACCCATCCGAGTCGCACTACGAGCAGTCTGATCAATCAGTATCGTGATATTACTTTTATATGTGGGATCCACCATACCCACCATTTCTGTCTTGAGAAGCGATAATCTCCCAGACCCGCACTTTTTATCTATGGAACCTTACTCCACTATTTAAAACATTTTGGGTCGGCAAAACCCTATGGACCATCCCGCTAATGTTTGGGTGTTGGTATTTTGAAAAATTAAAAGATAATGAAACGCTATAGTCGACTGCCCTGATTATCAGTTAAACATTACTCCGTAAACCAATTTAAAATCACCAAATTTTCATTTTCATTAAGGGGGTCTTCTAGTCTAGAGGCTCGAATTTCGACCTTTTTTTAACAATTAATAAAAAAAAAGCAATAGATATTTTTAGTATCCGTTTTTTTATCACTTGTTTATTAAACTTAAAGGAGTACATAAAATAAATTTCAAAAAAAAAAATTAGTTTTCATTGAGTTATTCCTTCTTGAAGAAGAGGGGAAAAAAAAGAGGACGTGTCCGCGTCGCCATGATATCTATGCTTGTAGTTATCTAAAAACTAAAACAATGATAGATTCTTAATGAGTACGAATGTCGCTATGGCAGGAACCACCAAAAAAAAAATATCTTTTTTTTCATGAAATGGCGGCTACTCAAAGAATTTTTTGATTTTTTTCACTAATTTTTCCACTTTGTCGAATTTTTAAAAATATTATATATTTAAAATTTTTTTTTTTGTTGGTTCATGCGATAGCGATATATTTAAAAAATATTCATGCCAAATTTCAAGTAAATCGACTGATTAGAACTTGAGTTAGAGTGGCGACCGCATCAAAAAAAGTAGTTTCGAGAAAAACGCGTTTAAAGTTCCAGTTGTTCCCTCAACCGGTCTAGTTGCCACGTCACTAAAACGGCTATAGCTATGAAAATAATTTGAGTTTTGAAAAATCCTTTTAGGAAGATATTTTTGAATATCCAAACTATCGAATTATGAAAAAAAAAATTTTTCGATTTTCTCAAATTTCTAGACTAGAAGACCCCCTTAAGCCAGCAATTCTAAGGCGCAACAATCATACATGAACGCATATTTGACTTGATCTTTGTGACAGGCAGACACAAAATTGCTTACCTTTGATTTTTTTACAGATCGCTATGGCCATCTTTAAAAGCTACAAATGTTTGCTTTTTTCAAGTCCATTCCATTAGCTAAAGATTTTCCACGGTGGGCATTTGTTTGTCAATTCAATGGGGTGACATTAAAGTTTTTTCTGGTAAAGTTTGAATTAATGACCTGCTGGACTTTATCTATGTGTTGGTACCATTTTGTCGGATTGTCCAGGCTGAGCATGGCAAGATCTGAGATAGCTTTCAATCTTTTTAATCTGGGTTATACTTTGGCGGTTTCTCACAGAACTTATGTTAAAGGAACTTATGGAAAATCAGGAGTAGGCCAAAACCGTGCTTTGCTGACGCAGTTTCATTATAATTCATTGGTGGCCTATAGCCAACTGAACTTTGTAAGGGAATTGATAACAGCTAAAATGTTTATGACACGTTTGCAGGTACTAAGAATTTTTGTTGTTGGTCGGATGAAATTATTATTGCAAAGGAGGACCATAAACGACAAAGTGTCCTCTGTCACGACCACAGCTTATTATTTGACGCTGCGTTTCATATTCTTAGACTAGATTGTTGTCGTGTGAGATAGCTCAATTGTCGAGTATTCGATTAATGTTTTGAATGCTTCTAATTGTGCAGTTATAATCTGCAAAGGCCATCTCTCAAATGTTAATTGTTTTGTTGAAAACATCGCAGTCTGTGAAAAGTTTAGAAAAATCTGCCCAAAGATTTATTTAAATCTCAGAAACTGCTTTTACAACGCATGGACTTCTAGTTTAATAACTGAGATTATCATTTTAATCTAGCGTTCATATTCAAGAGATTTCTTGAAATCTTTTAGCATTATAATTTTCTCTTCCTATTTCGATTTTTGAATTCATATTTGATCAAATACGTGAGAGGTTTCGCTTTCCTGAATTTGTGAAAGTAGCCAGAGAGACCAAAAAAGCTTTGAATGTGCTTAAAAGTCTGTGGATTTTCAAACTTCAGAACTGAGTCTATTTTTGGTTCACGGATATAGCTTGCGGTTTTCTATTATAAGACTTTGAAATTCTTTTGGTGTTTGAAGAATAGCACATTTTTCGTATCTAGGCCATATTGTTTTGAACCCATTCGTAAATTTTCTCCTTCGAGGCGCAAGATTCAGAAATGGTAGTAGTCGCGGTCTTAACAAAATTGTGGATCGAATTAAGAGACTTACTCTCTCACCAATCTATTGTAAAGACATTCAAGAAAGTTTCTGTTCCTAGGAGCAAAACAATACTAAGAGCCTTGTAAAAGCTCTCATTAGCTAGTGGTGAGTGGGAAGGTTCAATGAAGAAATCCGTTTCGATTCTAGGTGATCATTTAATAATTGATTTTCAATTTTGATAATTTGTGACATGACGCAGAAATAAAAAATGCAACTCGTTAGTGATATCTCTATGATCTGATTTCGATCTGCTTTTGTGTATCGCCAATCTTTCTGGGCGATATCTATCGCGTTGAAATTTACCTGAGAGCTATGTGTTCGAGCTAACAGATTATGTTTATTTCAGAGCTCCTTAAAAGGCTTTTGTGTATCGCCAATCTTTCTGGACGATATCTATCGCGTTGAAATTTACCTGAGAGCTATGTGTCAAGCTAACAGGTTCTGTTTATTTCAGAGCTCCTTAAAGACCCTAATATGAAAAAATATGGAAACTGCGAAGGAAATCATACGGCGAACAAGAGCTGAAGAGTCGCATGCGACAAGGGACAGCAAATAGACAGTTTAAATAGACAATGCACCTTCACCAAAGGTGAAAACATATCTCGCAATCTAATAAGTACCAAGGCGCTATCTGACCTATCTTCAAACCACTCGCCTGTGTTATAACACTTCTTCAAAGCGCTGACATAATCGAACACCCCTCAGGCTGACGTCGCACAAAACTAACTGGCTCAAATACAAAAAATTTGTGAGTTCGCAAGTAGAGCTCGCCCCTCAGCATTAGCCAAAATCCCCACACTAAAAGGGAAGGAAGTACAAGCAGATCGCCGACTTCAAAGCAACGCCTTAAGGAAGCAACCCACTCTTTCGACCTGCCTCTTCTTCAACAAATAGAAAATGCACAGCTATGGTACATCGAGAAACTTTCGCCAATCAGTACAATGAATACCCTATGAAGGGCTCACAAAAATGTTGGCGCTCCGATAAGAAACTCGTCAGGAAGTGTTTTTCAGCCAAAAACTTTTACAAATTAATTTTTCCAACTACATCTTTACTACATTAGGAAACTCAAACAAAAAAGTCAAATCATTAATTTTGGCTACTTCCCAAAGAAATGGAAAAAATCTATCAACATAATGATGCCCAAGCCCGAAGAAGAACACACAATTCCATCAACGGACAGACCAAAAGGTCTACTGTCAAAACTGTTCGAAAAATGACTTCTAACGCGAACGAGCAAGTTAACAAATTAACATAGTAAATACGATCAAAAAAATCTAAATCAAATTTGAACCAGGAGCCACACGCCCACGCCATAGCACATTCCGTAGGAGGCGGCAACGGCGAAGAACCGGGGGCGGTGCCTGTCGAGCCTCGGAGTACGTGGCAATGAAACTGCAACTGAAATTCTGGTCAAAAACAAACTGATCGTGCAATTCTACATTTGTTACCAATCCCGAAACCAATCCCAACCCGCCCACCAAGATGACGGCCACGTTGCGTTATCGTGGCGACAAAAGCAATCTCCTGGAGCTTGCCAAGAATTTGGATGCGTTCAAAAAAGTACCGGAGAAGTACACGGAGACCACGGAAATAGGGGGGGGACACTATCCCTTTTGAGTCGCCTGCTGATTGTGTACTTGGTCTATACGGAACTGCATTACTACTGGCATGAAACGGACATTGTGTACCAATTCGAACCGGACATTGCTTTGGACGAGCAGGAGCAGATGCACGTGGACATCACGGTGGCCATGCCCTGCGCCTCGCTATCCGGCGTGGATCTGATGGACGAGACGCAGCAGGATGTGTTTGCCTACGGAACGCTGCAGCGCGAGGGCGTCTGGTGGGAAATGTCTCAGCACGACCGGCTGCAGTTCCACGCCATTCAGATCCAAAATCACTATCTGCGCGAGCAGTTCCACTCGGTGGCCGATGTGCTGTTCAAGGACATCATGCGGGATCCGCATCCGGCGCGGGAGAGTCCCTCGCAGATGCCCGCTGCCCCGCCGCCAGGTGCTCTGCCCGTGGTGATGGACCTGCACCTGCCCAATGGCCAGAACAACGGAGTTGCCCTGCCGGAGAACAAGTTCGATGCGTGTCGTCTGCACGGAACTCTGGGCATCAATAAGGTGGCCGGAGTGCTCTATCTCGTGGGCGAAGCACAGCCAGTGGTCGGACTCTTCGAAGACCGCTGGATAAACGAACTGCGGCGCATGCCGGCGAACTTCAGGCATCGCATCAATGGGCTTAGCTTCGGGCAGTATTCGAGAAGGATTGTCCAGCCGCTGGAGGGCGACGAGACAGTGATCCACGAGGTGGCCACCACTGTGCAATACTTCCTGAAGGTCGTGCCCACGGAGATCCATCAGACATTCAGCACCATCAATACTTTTCAGTACGCCGTCACCGAGAATGTGCGGAAACTAGATTCCGAGCGAAACTCGTACGGCTCTCCTGGAATTTACTTCAAGTACGACTGGTCAGCTCTCAAGATTATGGTGGGCAACGATCACTTGGTCACCTTCGCCATCCGCCTGTGCTCGATTATATCCGGAATTATTGTCATCTCGGGCGCCATCAATTCGCTGCTGCTGGGCATCCAACGTCGCCTGCTGCGCACTTTTGCTCCGGAGATGTACCAGCGGCTGACCAATGCCAAGGCCGCTCCTCCCGCTGCTGCTGCTGCTCCATTATCGATTTCCGCCCAGGCTGCGGCAGCGCCGCCCGTCAACGAGCTGCTGCACACGGCCAACCTGATGGCCAACGTGGACATCTCGGCCTATCTGCCCACGGCGCCACCGAAGCTCAAAGCTGGCCTCTAGTCTTTAGAATGCCAGCGAATCTCAGTCTGCAATCTGCTAACCGAATCTTCCCCCGTCACTTTAAACTAATTTTTGTATTCTTTCATTAAGGTACGAAAAAAAAGGCAAATACAAATATTGCAAAAATGTTGTACATAAATATTGATAAGTTCAAGCTGGAGGTGTTGTGTTCTTTAATCGCTGCCCAGGATGCCGGTGTCGATGTTGCTCCAGTGGCCGGAGCGTCGGTAGCCGAAGATGCTCTTCAGGATCTCCAGGCCGGACTCCACTGTGGTTCGCACGTCGCGCTTGCTGCACCCGCTTGGTGTCCCTTAGTGCCACCACGATGCTGATGCCCTCGCGGAGTGTGAGGCCTCCTCGCACGGCAGTGCCCGTACTAGACGCCACATTGCTGTCCAGGGCGTCGATGTCGAAGCTCACATGGATCTTATTCTGCGGATTCAGTGCGTCCAGCGTCATCTCGATGATCTTGGGCACGCCCACGCGGTCGATGGTCTGTTGACGGAGCGGGAAAACAAGGGGCATTATTCTCTGTGGTTGGACATATTTTCGGCAAACAGGGAATGTTATGTGAATAAATGTCTTTCTGGGCGGTGAAGGATTATGAAATCTAAATCTTATGTTAGTATCTTTCATGTTGTATATATAGAATTGGATTTTACAATTTAAATTCAGTTAAGAGTTCCTTTAAGTTATGATAAATTAGACATTTTTGTGGCAAATAAGTAATGATAGCTGAACAGTGTTTTTAAAAATAAAGGTTTATTTTTTGTATATTGATACGCTTGAAAAAAAAAAAACCTTATACACGGTGATATTGACTCCCCCGACTTAGTAAGTCGGCTAAACTTTTCTGTGAACTAGAAACTAACTAGAAATTATATTCCCCTAATATTAAATCATTGTAGATCTAACTATGCCTTTCAGAGTATTGTGTTCTGACTATAATAGTTTTTTTCCTATAATCTCAAATCTTGACTCTCTGCCGCTCTTAAAACGATTAATACTAGCTTCATTGGCACAAAATTGATCTTACTATTACTTTTTTCCCCGGGCTTTTACCTATATTTCCTTATCTCGCGTCTATCTTCTCGCGAATCTTGCCGTCTGCGCCCCTCGGTCGGTTGGGCGGGTAACTGAGCCGTGGGACTCCGCGCGAAAAAAAAAAATTTGAGCGTCGAGAATATTGTAACGTATTCCTCGATGTATCACAAGCCTTTGACCGAGTCTGGCTTCATGGTCTCGTGCGTAAAATCAAAATGCATTTGCCTATATACGCCCATAAGCTCCTCGAGCCGTATATCTACAATGGAGTATTTTCATTGAGATTCATGCAGTAACATCAGAGTTCCACAACGAAGCGCACTTAGGCCTATTCCTATATACTGCCGATATCCCTACGAACGAGACTCTAACAACGTCCTCGTTTACCGACGATACTGCGATCCAGCCTCTCTTCAGATGCCCAATAGTGTAGAGGTTGCTACCTGACTGTCTTATTAAACTATACGAGCCAAAGTGTAAACACGTAACGTTAATCGCCGACAGGCGATTAAAAAAAGCCAGCGGACTCCACTGGATTATTAACGCTCAATCACTTCAACACCTGGACCACAAGATCCTGCACTCCAACTCAACTCTTAAGCCCATCTGGACTCCCAGCTGAAGGGGAGCGCGGGCAGCAGCAACATATACATCATACATCGCGCTAGTTAACTAAAGGAAAGGTATTCTAATTTGGTTCGGGGAGCTTTTCCAATAATTAACAATACCAAGTTGTGGTTTCTTTGACAATATATTTCAAACTGAATTCTTTAGTTAATTATTCACCTTTCAATGCTTAAATGTTCGCCTGTAGTTATGCAGACCTAGCGGAATGGAATTTTGGATCCGAAGTGGTCCCGATGTTTGTGTTTGGTTGGCAACTTTATTGCCAACGGGGTATTTGGTTACTAGACGTTTGGATGCCGTGGGAATTCGGTGGGGTACCGCCGAGGGTATTTGCTGAGGCGGTACTTTGGCTGCTAGATGTTGGGCTGCCGTGGGGGATTCGGTGGGGAACCGCCGAGGATAACTGCTGAGGCGGTAACTCCTCCCTCTGAACTAGTGGCAGGTGGAGCAATAGTTGGCGTAAGTGTCGTGAGTGGTGCCGCTGGTGTAAAGGTAGTCGTTCTTTTTGAAAAGCAACCATCAATAGTACGGTTAGTATTGTGGTATATTAGGTATCTACATGTTTAATCTCGATGAGCCAAGTTTTTCCACTGTTTCCACTGTATTGGATGTTATTTACCATGGCTCTGCACTCGCTGAATGTGATCAGTGCTGATCCATTCATGGTTCTTTCGTGTCCACAGTCTGTTTGTATTTTTACGTTCTCCCCATTGAAGTCCTACATCTTTTGTTTCACAATTCGATTCCTCTCCTCTGATCAGTTTCTCAATACAATTCTCGTTAACCTGGTTTACAATTTTATCATTCTTTCATGTATACAAATTTCTTATTTTCTGACATTTATTCTTATTGTAATAGATTATACAAATAATTCGAGTCCGCTTTGGTTTCCTTTATTCAATTCTTTATTTATCATTTACATATAATTTATACTTGGAGCTGAGCAGCCGTCGTTGCCGCTCTGAGCTGAAAAGAGTTTCTTTTTTAGCTTAATTTACTTAGGAGCTAAAAAGGTCTAAGTCTCGTAGCGGCGCTACCAACAGCGACAGCGGAGAGACGGCCTATATATTCTTAATATATATGTATATGCTCACTTAGTCTGGAGCGCGGAGGTATATGCACATATGTTGCACTTATGCTGACACATGCACTTTCAGCATGTGAGCCAAGGCAAAGCCGGCGGTTCGTATTTCGGGCACTTAGGTTGATGACCGAGACCCTGAATTGTATAAACACTGCGACAAAGTGTTACAGTGGTTGCCCTCTTAGTACTCTTGGTACAGTGGGTGGTCGATATATATATTTCATATGTGAGCATACTACATCTCCCTCCTTTTGAAAAATAACGTAATATAATGGAGTTATTTTCTTTGAGAAGACTTTGAGAAAATGGATATTATTTATAACAATAAGATTAAAAAATTTTTTTTTTGTTTTTAATTTGTTTTTCTATTTTTATACCCTTGCAGAGGGTATTATAATTTTGGTCAAAAGTGTGCAACGCAGTAAAGGAGACATCTCCGACCCTATAAAGTATATATATTCTTGATCAGGATCTCCTCCTGAGTTGATATAGCCATGTCCGTCTGTCTGTTTCTACGCAAACTAGTCTCTCAGTTTTAAAGCTATCGAATTGAAACTTTGCACACACCCTTCTTTCCTTTGCACGCAGTATATATGTCGGAACGGCCGGGATCGGCCGACTATATCCTATAGCTGCCATATAACTGATTGATCGGAAATGCCATAACTTTGGTGTTTGTAAAGTTAGAAAGTTGGGATTTTCTGTTGGTGTTATATTTGGCCAATCAATCCGACCTACTAAAAATCGGCGGACTATATAATATTATTTTCCATTTAGAATCTGTCGTCGATTCATTTTTTTTTATGAACTAGTTAAAGCAAAGGATTGATGCTGGTTTCCGTGATATTTATTATGAATCCTCACATACTCAGCCCCCTCACCACGACAAGGTCTCAATCCACGAGAGGGAAATATTATAATAGCTTAATCTATATTGCACTTTATAAATAAAAAATGTATCACAATTTTTAAACAATATAATAATCTATTTTTATTTTACTTAGATATATACAATTCAAATAAATAAATAAGTTAATAAATTGATAAATAAATTAATAAACAAATATTAATATCTATATTTAAGAAAAATTCCATCATGATGACTATAGCTCGTTTTGTATGTAAGAGCAACAGCATTCCTCAGCTCATTTTCAGCAAATATCCAATCAATTTGCGTCAAATGTTTCGTTGTTGCAGAATTATTGATTGGAATTAGATTAAATTCATTTAAAGCTTCCTCGAGTCGATCAGTGGTTGTGGATTTGCAAATATTAAAATCTCCTAATATAACCAATTTGCCATTATTTTCTAAGCTGCGTATCCTTTCTACGTCCGACATAATTTCATTACGAAATTGTGCTATAGGAAACGTTGGATTCCTATAAACAACAATGAAGGATGTATTAATATATTTGAATGCAATTGATTGGTATATTGTTCTTGAGTTCTTCCTCGAGTCGATCAGTGGTTGTGGATTTGCAAATATTAAAATCTCCTAATATAACCAATTTGCCATTATTTTCTAAGCTGCGTATCCTTTCTACGTCCGACATAATTTCATTACGAAATTGTGCTATAGGAAACGTTGGATTCCTATAAACAACAATGAAGGATGTATTAATATATTTGAATGCAATTGATTGGTATATAGTTCTTGAGCTCGAAGACTTATTTGTCTCAAACAAGAAAACCACATTTTCGGCAATATTTTGCTTGGCATAAATAATAATTCCATTTTTGCCCATACCATTCAATCGATTGCTATCAATTCTTCTTATTATGTCGAAACCTTCTGAAGAAAAGTCTTCGCTGGGAAGAGTCCAAGTTTCGACAAAACAAAGAAAATTGGCAGAACAAATAATAGGGTCAAAAAAAATTTCTTCGCGATGGCTTCGAAGAGACTCAACATTATGGTAATGCAGTGAGATGTCTTCGTTTCTGTTAACCACAAACTCATAATGCGTAGTCAAAAACTTTTCCTCTCTTAACTTTTGAAGTTCGTCTTGGACATTTGGAGCTCCAAATCTTGTTGGAGGAACAAAGTCGCCTAGAAGGAAAAGTCCTGATGCGCTAGTGGCTCTGCTGCATCCAACATATAACGAAGCTCGCTTGATGCCTCTTTTAAGATGCACGGCGACTTTGCTATATGTCGCTCCTTGGCTTTTGTGGATGGTAATAGCCTCAGCAGGAACAATTGGAAATTGTTTTCGGTCAACAGAAGCATGTTTCGATCTTCCACATTGAAAAACTCGAGAGGCTTTTACTATTGGAGTCCATTCGGGATCGGG